TTCCATCAAGATATTTTTCTTTCATGACTTTTAGGATAAAAACTAAAATAATAAATATTGTATTCGACAATATTCCATCGAATGCAACTTGTTTGTTTGATTGATGTTTGTAAAGTATAGTAAGATCGATTTCATCAACGTTTTGCTAATACTTTACAACGAGCTGATACTGTCATCGAAACATTTCGGAATTGAATTTTTCAACAAATTAGTTAGAGAAAAATAAAAATAAAATATTTTCTGTTTTTTTCTTTCTTGTTGAAACAGATCGTAATATTAATCCTCGTTTAATATCCTCATGCTATACCACTAATGTCAAATATAAATGAAAAATTATTTCTCATATTCTTTTTTTTGTGTATCTATTGATTATTATTGTCTTTCTTATTTCATCAACATAAGGCTATGCCCAAAACTTTTTCTAAGTATTTGAGAGTTCATCATGGATAAATTTAAGTTATACAAGACGATAGTTAAAGTATATATACATTTACCATCTAAGATATAAATGGTCGCTCTGAGATTGTATCATACATTCCAATATAAAGAATCTATAAGCTGTTAATTATTGTTTTTCGCATATTTATCTCTCTCGAATGTCGCCGAGTTTTGAAAAATGGATTCAGATATGCACTCACTACATTCATGCAATATCAACAAGCTTTTTTTTAAAATTCGAAATGATGATCAGGTGTTGATAACAAATGGCTGAATTGATTTATGGCTCATGCATCGAATGAAAGAAGAAGAATTTGTCATAGCAACTAAGCGCCTAAAAAGCAATAAGCCACCTTAATGAATGTATAATTAAACAGTAACTTAACATAAATTCATCGTTGAAAATGGCAACTATATTGCATGATTCAACGAAGAATATTTGTTTTTGATATATTGAAAGCTATCATATCGCAATGTTAATTCCTTGATTAACAAAGTAACATGAGACTAGAAAGAAAAAAAAATGATTCACAGTGTTGTATTATAAGTGTTGCTTGCTATATGCTTTTTCTTTGACAATCATTCGTAACGATTCTTGATAAGGTAAGTGAGCGTTTGTGTTGTATGATCACTTTTCTTCTTCTTATTTTTTTTTTAAATATTGGTGAGACTAGCAAGTATTGTTTTCTGTTTTTGTTATTTTAACACATAGTATCTATTGGTACAGAAGTATGTCTAGTATATTTTCTGTTGCAAATTGAATGATGAAAAATATCTTTCTCATTTTATATTTTTTGAAAGATAATATTATTTTACATAGGTTAGTCAATAAATTCTTGGCCTTTCAAATATTTATCCATACAAAAAACATTTTGTTAATCTTTTTACAGTAAATGTTTGAAATAGTTCTCACGATGTTCAATACAGAGTTTCATCTTTTCAATCCACTTCTGAAATATCTTTTGGTATTCTTGAATAAGTATTGAATTGAGCACGTTGGATAATGCTTTAGCTAAACTTGTAGTATCTGGATATATATCAAGGTTATGTTTCAGACAACTGAACAACCACAAATCTGAAGAAGCAAGGTCAGTTGAATATAGTAGATGAACCATAAATTAGATATTTTTCTCTTGAAGATATTAAGATTGAGAACAATACCTTGCATATGTGATTTTGCATTTTTTATAATGCAAATTTATGTTATTTGGTTTTAATAATGTTTTTTTTTCTCATGTAAATTTTTGACTAATGTCTTCAAGTATCCATCAAAATAATTTATGTGATCACTATATGTAAGATGATAGTAATATAATCAATAATAATATGTGGATCATCATTCATCAGGTTCTGGACCGCATCAATATTTTGTTGAGTAATGGCGGATAACGGACAACCATTCCGAGGATCATCGTCCAACAACGACTCTCGTCCACTTGAAAATCGATGAATCCAATGAGCAACTGTACTATATGAAACACCATCTTGTCCATAAACAGAAGTTAATTCATCATGATTTTTGCGTAGCAGTTAAACTTAATAACCAACGAGTTTCTATATATCAGTGAATATAAAGTTTATCCATCTGAGAACAGAGATGTTGAAAAAATTAATTAAAGTTTTGTCGTAATAGACATTTATGAAACTTCATATTGATATTTTAATGTATAACGAATGTTGCTCCTAGGATGGGTCAACATGAGGAATAAAATCAATCCAGATGAAATTTTACAGTACTGTTACCAGAACTTTTTGACTACCTTATGTACAAATAATCTTATTGATTCTCTTCTTACATTTCTGAGTACCTGGTCGGATCTTTTGTCAGTACCTGATGTTCTGCATTGAAAGTGTTTCGTCAAATTAGCTAATTGAGAATTATAAAACATCTGATGTCTAATTCCTGAAGAGTCCATTGGATATTATAAACGTGGTACTTTCACTAGAGACAATGACCATCACACTTATTTGTCAATCTTCATCTTTTTTTGTTTAATTAAAAAAGTTGAAAGACATATAAATAGAAGTGTACGAGTTTTTGCTACGATTGAATCTGTATGAAGTATCTCTGAGATCTTGCGTTTGCCTTTTGCATTATTCTCATCTAAAATTCAGTTTATGTTAGATTTTGGAACTAAAAATAACAACGCGATGAATAATTCGTTTTACATTTTGAAAGTATTAGTCTGAATGAAGATAGAAGTTCAAACTCGTCACTCACTCAAGAATATATTGTCAATGCAGAAAAAGTCAATGATATATTTGTTAAACATATGCAAATAACTCTAACAGATTCATCATTTTATATAGCTTTTTAAAAATACATGAAATATACTCGATATTCTACAAACATCTCAAATTATTTATTTATTTATTTATTACTTTCTATGGAGTATTTTCGTTGCATTTGACTTAAATTTCTCAGTTCTCTGCACAATATTTACTTCACTGTTATAAAACGCCATCTCTTATTATAGCAGTTGCCTCTCTTGTTATTTGTTCGCCCTTCTCGCTAGTCGTAAATGCATATGTGACACTTCTTTTTCTTTCTCTTTGATGTTTCGAACGGCAAATTTTAATAAACCAAGGTAAAATCTATAGAACATCTGCTACTCTCGATATACATGCTATTTCACACTGTTATCAAAAAGTAGTATGTATGCAGCATATTGCTGAATAAAGTAACACTTTGTTTGTAAGGATAGTTAGGATGGATTTCTAAATAAAAGAAAAAAGTAAATGTAACTTATTCTATCATTTTAGAATACTCCAATTTCTCTTTGATTATATGAGAAAAAGATTATGATGTTTTTTTTTCGCTTATTACCTGTGTTATTATCAAAAGGCAATGCTTGTTAAACAAAAAAAAAGAAATAGGATATTTCTTCATGTTTTCTTCTTAATGCATTATTTAACAAAACTTTGTTATTTCTTTCCGTTTTCTTTTTTGTTACGATAAGTTTACTCTTCTTTTTAATGCTCCATTTCTCTTCTATACTAGTTGAATTCGATTTATTGGTTACTAAATAGGTGGTAATGCTCGTGGAAGATATTTAAATAATCTAATTGTAATAGAAATTTTAAATCTAATGAAATTTCCACGATATGTCCAACAATTTTAGTAAAATATTTTTTAAAAATTTCAGTTTCATCAAGCTTAATGTCTCACATCTTAAAGAAGTAATCGTGAAAATGATTGATGCACCAGATTCTGATATATCAAGGTTTTTTCTTTTCTTTCATATTACCGTTAGAATAGAAATTTATAAGTTGCCTTTGAAAAGGTACTGATTCATTGTGTTGTTATGATTGTTTTATGTCATCCAATGAAAACAGTGTTTATGTCGGCGCAGCTTATTAATAAAATCACTTAGAAAATAATTATATGTTCTAGTTTTTTTTCGATATTTTTTCTATAAATATCAACTATGTCGTGAGTGATTTATGCGACAACTATTTAATAATCTTTCTTTTTCTTTTTATCGGTGGCGATAGAGAAGTGTGCATACTTTTTTTATTGTCAAAATAGAAATAAAAAAAACATATAATCATTTCATTTATTCACTAGATTTATTAAGTGATCATTTTTGAATCAAAATTTGGTTAATATGTCGTGGGTAGTTGAACAAAGTGAAAATACACCTGCTGTTCATGTTAATGGTGATACTATTACATGTACACACAATGGTTTTTTTGGTAGTCCAATAAATGTTATGTACAAAGATCCAGCTAGTCAAAATGGAGAGTATTTTTGGCAAGTAGAATTTCCGGAGGTGCAAGAAGCTGGAGGTGTTTCTGTTGGTTTGACAACAGAAAATAGTTTTAAAAGTGGATGGGGACTCACAGCTATGAAATATTTAGGTAATTTATCGGATGGTAGCGCACTTTTAGTATCAGCATTTGGTAATCAAATAAAACAAAATGATAAAATTGGCATATTATTGCAATTAACTAATGCAGATTTAAAAATGTATATCTTTCATAATGAACAACCATTAGGTTTAGCATTTCATATATCATCACCATATTCAAAACCGTTGTATCCTGGTAAGCTTCGATAAACTTTATAATGGAATATGTTTATTCAATTTTTGTTTTCAGTTGTTAGTTTCAATTCAAATGGTAAAATCAAGATCAGTCGTTTACAACAGATACCTAAATCATTAGAACGTACATCAGCAGAATTTACTGGTGTCAATGGTCATTGGAAAATTATTGATTATCCACCGCATCCAGAATGTATTGGATGTAAATTTGAAATAAAGCATGAAAATCAAAATACTTATCATCTTCATGCACGCGTAGTTAATTCAATGAATTGTTCTTTAAAACATGATTCAACAAATAATCAATGGAAACCTTCTCCGGTTGTGTCAACAATGATGATGGGTCCACCAGAAGATATGAAGAAAGAAGATTTAATTGGCAATTTAATTTCTGGTATTCAACGTTTGGAAGTTCCAGATCAACAACATTTAATCATCCGAACGAATAATGGTACACAAGCTCAATTAGAACGCTTTACAGTTCCAGCACCACCAGCAGTTACGCAAAATATATTTAATTAATTAAAATGAAAATGTCAATAGACAATTGATTTATCATATAGAAAACATGCTTGTAGTGTGCGCGTATTATTCTTTTTTTATGTTTGTGCAGCAAATTCATTTCATCTTAATAAACATTTATATCAATAGTAGAACAATAAAATATATTTATAAAACTATGTCTACTATGTCCTATTTTATAATTGCCTTCAAAAACTTTCGAAAATGATAATAATATTCCATGTCGAAACAGTTTTTAATATGTAAAAGTAAATATATTTTATCTTAATAACATATGAAACTATTTATTCTAGATAGTATTACTTTAACATGAATATGTAAATCATCTGAGTAATGTTTATGAAGGATATGTTGAAGTTGAATTTATAATATGTTTGATAAATTTTTTTTAAATAAATGAATGCTATTCTTTTTAAGTTAATAGTTAATATTATTATTGAAAATTAAAATTAAACTTTTGAAATAATTAAATATTTTTCAAAGTATTGTGTTTCGTAGTTAATAGCAATAAGAGTCTTACAGACGTTTTTATTATGCAATATAACATTTGAGTCTACGACAATTGATTGTAGTGAGAACTGGGCGCTATGACAATTAGTTGCAGTACTGAAAAATAAAATTAGCTAAAGAAAATTTTCTTAACATTATGAAAAAATAATTCAGAGACGTCCAGAAAATAATTAATAATTTATAAAAGGATAAAAAACATTAGATATGAGTATAGATATGAATGTTTAATGAACTTTTCTAATTGAGCCTAAGGTCCTACTCAAAAATCTATCTTGGACTAGGAACATTCAAATTGCATGGAACTTTCAAAATATGTTGGGACTGGTGTGGAGAGTCTATAGTAAAATTTTCAGTCCTATATCATGATGTTTTCGGGAGAGATTCAACAAACAAGGATCAAAAATAGCTGATTTAGCAACTCAAATTTCTCATTGGACCTTCATTCTATAGACTTAAGTTTTTTTTTCGTTGGAGAGCACATATCAAGATGGAGGGCACCACAGAGTTCTTTTTTTTTCAAAAATTCTTACTTTTTAAGCGGAAAGAAGGAATCACCAGTTCGATGATTTAAAAAACGTGGCACTGTTTCTATAGAGGTGTTTTCTTATATGATAATAAAAAAGCTTATTTCAAAAAAAGGACTCCGTGATGCCTTGCATTCTGACGTGCTCTTTGCAGCAACAAAAAATTTTAATATATAACATAAACCTGGACAGAAAAATTTTGGGTTGCACGTTTGACATATCATGAACTGAAAAAAAAGCATATTTTTCGAATAAGGGATGATGAAAATCTTCGAAAATTTTTGGAACAAAAAGGGGAGTGTCGAGTAAAAATTTTTGTCATTTATGAAAGACCAGATCACGGGCTATCTTTCCATGTATCTATCTCAATTTCGATCATTCTGGCAAATTTTTTGAAGGGAAGGGGACATAAAGCCTTACATGTGACCGTTGTCCGACAATGAATATTGTTTTCATCTTTTCGTAACACTTAGATAACCATTCTATAAGATAACTCTTCATTTTTCACATGCCACTCTTATCCTCGCACAATGCTGTATGTGATTGAGTTAAATGTCTGTACATTTAAGCTTGTGGGAAATAAAATAAGAACCACGCTTCTGTCGAACATGCGATCAATTTTACATAATGACTAATTGTCATACGGTCCATTTTTTGCTTTCACATAATATTTATATCTAAGAATTTGTTCTCCAATTAGATTATTCTTTGTCGAAGTACTTCGGTTTTATTAAATAGTTTAGTATATTGATGGTTAAATCTATTCAATTTATCTATCTGCTAATGTATTAGCAATTGCGGATATTATCAAAAATTGATATTTGATGACGTTATCATTCAACACTATTAATTTATTTAAACAAAGAAAACTGAGCTAGTGACAATCAATTGATCGACGATAAAGTGACATTTCTACTTGAAATCGAGAAAGTATTCCATTTTTCAAGTTATTTTGAAAGAAAAATATGCGATATGAACCACTAGAAGTAACTTTTCTTTTATTTCAACTCTCAATATTCAAGCACAATCGAAATGGATTTTGTATTCAAACATTCATTCTCGATTCGAAAATGATATGAAATATGAACGGTAACAGTTATTAACGAATATGGCAAGTAAGATATAATCTTTCATAAAAATCGTTGTTTGTTTATTAAAATTTTAACACTAAAATCATCTAATAAAAGAATTCTAGATTCATAAAATAGGAAAAATATCATTCAATCAAATATATGAGTAAAATATGTGGGTGAGTATTAGAAGAGGATAAAGTCTTAAGGACGAGCATGTAAATTCAATCACACAGTTATTTTTTTGCTACCAGCAGTATCTTGACCTTTTCGTTTTTCCAAAGAAATTTTTTCTTTATGAACGATCCACATGAGTATAAAATGCATAAGAGCACTGACAAGAAAACTGATACCACTAATGATGAATGGTATGTTAAAACTTGCTGTGAAATCTCGAATAGCACCCATCACCTGAACAAATAAAAATCGATTAATAAATTACAATGAAGATTGAAGAGAAAATAATACTTACTGGTGGAGCAATCAATGAAGAAATTCCTCTAAATAAAAACACCAAACCCAAAGCACTACTAAACTTATCAAGGCCAACAAG